TTAACACAAGTGACCCTAGTGCAATGCCAATAGCATTGTTGGATCTTTTAGAGTTTGCTTATGCCAGCACAATGTGAATTACATTAGGGCTAGTACTTAACTAAACATTGTCCTGTGATTCCTGGATGCAAACAGTTAAAGATCAGCTGACTTAAATCTGTAAGTGCTTTGTAGAGTGATAAAAGAAAACTGCACGTAAAATTCACCTACTTAAGCCTCTGGGTACATTTGACACAACAAGGTATTTTAGCCAATGTTCCTGTTGCCATGAAAAAATAGCCTTCTGGCACAATCCTATATGTGTTTGGACAGAAAAGGAACCTACAGCTCCTGAGCTGGAGACATCAGGGAGTTGTAGGCCTTTTTTCTCTCTAATCGTGCACAGGATTGCACCCTTTAGTACTTAAGCAGGGATTATTAGGCAAATGACTTACTTCCATACCACTAATACATGTCTAAGGATGGAACTGCATACTATTAAAAAAAAAAAAGATTTCCTCCTACACTTTTTAGTTAGTACCACTCTCTCACTGTACATGTGAAATGTTATCTTTTACTGACCCATTCTCAAATTTTAACCACTGTTATAGCCAGAAGGATATCCTCATCCCAAAGGGTCACCCAGACTATCTAAACCCTATTTGAGATATTTGGGTATTTAATTTCATATAATCCTAGTCACGTGAGGAAGACAATGGGCCCACACTCACTGGACTTGTCCCTTCTGTCTCATGAGAAAAACAAGCAAATTCCCAGTGCCCCACCTCACTGTCTCTCCACATGGTTCACATTCAGGGGTCCAAAGTGTACAGGGAGCCCATGATGCATGTCAGGACTCTTGCTCAGTTCCTTTTCCTTTGTTCCATGGAGGGACCAGGCTCTCACCACAGCCCAGGGAGCAGGAGCAGGAGCACTCCCATGCCCATCATGTAATTGGGGGGTGGGATGTCAAACAGCTAAACATGGGTTCACACCCAAGGTGGGATTTTTCCAGCCTCCAGAACAAAGGGCTTCAGGAGACACCTCGCTGGGGGCCTGCTAGACAGTGCAACCCCCATGAGGCCACACCCCACTTTTTCACATGTACTCCTCTTTCAGCTCGCCACTGAGACACACAGACACATGTGCTGGTCATAAACACACAGACTGTTCCTGTACATTCACAAACTGGAGCCAGAGAGATGCCCCCTGGAGGCCTCCCATCCTGCTTTACATTGTGAACTAATATGTATTACACAATAACTTGAACATTATCCCCTGATTCATGCTTAGTAGCATAATAGAGACATTTGCTCCTGGGACCAGGAAAGCTGGAAACAGAGAACTAAGCCTGTTCAGGTATAGAATTACCAAGTTTAGCTAAAGTGAAAAGAAAAAGAGTGCTCCAACCCCACACCTCTCCTTTATTGCATCTGCCCCCTCTACTCATGGAGGGAAACTGTCTGAAGAGAGGAAGTCCCTCTATCTGTGTGTCTTCTTCACAAAGCCTTATTATTGGAAAATAGGTGCTCCCTTTCCTCTTGTTGTAGCTCAAGTTAATCAGATTACTACCTAACACACTGAAATAGTTAAGACTTTTAATCTGTTTTATTGTACAAGCCATCCTGGAGACATTTTGTTCCAGAGTGGCATATAAATATCATTAATAAACACATGAAGAAACATGGAGACTTTATCTATATAAACACTTCATATCCATATAAACATTCTATCTATCCACTTTATATAAATTTGCATTATCTTATGGTGTAGAAAAATGTGATGTCAACATTAAATATAACACCATGTACACTGTAATTCTTTTTTAAAAAGAGAAAATAACAAAAGTTAGTTAATCCAACATTTCAATTAAATAACTGAGAACAATAATCTTAATCATATTTTACATAGGATAAAGAGTCTGATCTATTAAGAGCAAGTTTTGCCTGTTTCATTAAGCACTGCTATAGTCCATCAGGCAGTCAGGATCTGCCAACTGCCTAGAGTGTTCAAGGCATATTTTTAATGTTTCCTATCCCTCCAGCAAGTAGCACAAAGCTATTAGTGGTTTGTCCTGCTAAAAGCTCAGCAGTGGGCGTACACGAATTTAAAATGCAATTTAGAAAAGCCTGGAACACAATGTAATGCAAACTTCTGCTTGTTTCAAGATGTCTAAACTCTGACCACACTGTCAATCTGGCAAACCAGGGAAGGAAAAAAATCCATATAAAAAGTTCTCACACCCTGTTGGCTTAAGAGACAGTGGGTATTAATCCTAGCCTTGCCATGCCTTGCTTCCTTTTTGTGGTCAGTTGAGAAGCTGTGTGGTTGGTCTGAAGGAGTCCAGTCTTTCCCCATCCCTGTGTTAAAACAAGAGAAAGTTGGTCTGCTACACAGCAAAGAAGAAACCACAGCCAGCCTGTTCTGTTGATTCTCTCCCTCAAATGTGGCCTGCAGCTATTCTGCTTTCCAAAAAAAGGTTTAATTTAAACCATACAAAGCACTATGAGCTGCCACGTTTCCAGACTGTGCATTCCTTCCTAATCTGTGCTCTTCAGAACTGACAGATTCTGTTTGCACTGATAACCAGATAAAACACAATGACCAGGATCCAAAGAACTGTGAAGCCAGAGGCCTAGCTCTTGCTGCGGAGATGAACCTATGGCCAGGATGTATCCTTTATGATTCCAGGTGGGGGGGCTTCCTCCATACAAAAAATAAACAAATCCCCATACACAGAGATGTAGTGTGCCTGAAGAAGAGTAGGTCAGAACCTTCCCCCTGATATCTAGTAAACCGCTTTGGAAGCTGAAGAAAACTGGAAAAGTGGTTTATGCAATGTCATGGGAATCAGCTGTTCACCACGCAAAACAGAGCCAAGAATTCCAATGGGCTTAAAAGACGCCGTCTGCGTGAAGCTAAGCAGCTTGTTCATTTGCAGCCAGTGAATAAATTAGTGTCCTAACCAAGTACGTGGTTTAATAATAAACATAATAATTCTACCCCTCGCTAGAGATTATGACATCTCTTGGTATTTGGGGAAGCGGGAAAGGGTAAATTTTTATGTAACAAACAGGGTTTGATCACTTAATTTCAGCAAGTCATATTATGAACTACTTGGAGAGTCACCAGCAATGTTCTCTGCCCACTGGCCTACATCAACCAAGAGATGCACAATAGCTTTTTAATCCCCCTTTCTTCAGTAGGAATAGAACAAACACACTACCACCTTATTTTCATTTGCTTATCTCTTGACTTGCACAGGAATAAGCACGTGGCATGCAGTGAACACATTGCCTGATCTGTGTCCCACTTAAAGAAAATGGATTGTTGAGTATGTTAGGATTCATGGGTCTTTGAGACCAGAGACTATATTGGTGGCTCCACTTACTGAGCTATGCCTACATTTACCTGTAGGGTTCACCACATACTGAGATGCAGGGGGACCAAGGTAAGAGAAAGTGAAGTAAAAGAAGCTGATACTTTGTTTTCGCCAAACTGCTCCCTTTTCTCTGTTGCTGGGACACAGCCAGGGTGGTAGATGATACAGGGAATGTGTTGTTTTATGTAAGCAGGCTTAAGTCACTTCTGTCATTCAATGCAGGACTCAAGAGCCTGAAATCTTTTCCCAGTGATTGTCTCAGGTTTGATGTGAGCCTGAGCCTTCTTTCTCTTCCTATAGTAACTGGTGAGCGAATCTGAGCCTGGAACTGTGTTCCCTGTCCCTGTATCACTTTAGGCAGAAGGACTGTACTCAGTCCTCCTTCACAAGCCCTTGACAGTGGAAAAGGAATTTCCTTTGCAGTTCACCCAAACACACTTGACAGGGTCCCTATACCAGTCTTTTGTTAATTCTGTTAAGTGTATGAAGGTTGTTTGTAATCCTTAAAGTTTAAGTCACTACTGACATCCCTCACTTCATTCTTTACATTATTTTACATCACTTCCGCATAAGAATTTTTCTGGATCTAAAACCATACCAGTGGCATCTTAGGCACCCTTCACTGAAACAACTCTCCAAAGTATACAGTGGACACCACGATCAACATCTGTTTTGACCAAGAAAGCACCATTCCACTGAATGTTCAGGCTCTTCATTTTGTTACAGCAGACAAAATGTTACTGCAGGTCTCCAAGAATAAATGCCAGAAGCTGTCACACAAGGATAAGAAGACTCTCACACCAGCAAAACCATTAATTTGACACCAGTGGGTTCCAACCACTTTCATTATATAAATGCAGTAATTCCAACTGACCACATTAGCTATGGCACAGATATTCTAGTATGAACTTAGGGCATGTTATTGAAAGGGAAAAACTTCCATGTTAAAGACCAACTTTAGAAGAGTGAGTCTTTGAGTCTTTTCAATATACTTCCAGACACTATGTTTTTTTATTTCATATCAAACATGAAATAAAGTACAGGGCACCATAATTACTCTTGCTTAATTATCCTCTGAAAAATCAGGTTGCTTACCTGTAACTGATGGTCTTCGAGTGGCCATCTGTGCATTCACACATATGGGTGCTGCGCCTGCGTAGTGCCTAGGCCGGAAGATTAGAAAGCTAATGGTTTTTGGCAGGAAAAGGCTCCGCTCTGCTCCCCTCCCCCCTATAGTATAAATAGAGCGGGGCATCCGCCCTTTTATTAAGCCTTGAAGACCGACGTTCGCCCCCTTGAAGTTAAAGACAGCTGTACAATAAGTATCATTGGCACCGTAAGATCAGCGTGGAACCAATGAAAAAACAGTTCCATTCACCGACACCATGCAGCGCCAGCGGGTGGGTTGTGTGAATGCACAGATGGCCACTCGAAGAACATCAGTTACAGGTAAGCAACCTGCTTTTCTTCGTTGTGGCCTCTGTGCATCACACATATGGGTGATTAGCAAGCTTACCAGACTTGGAGGAGGGAGGTGTCATCAATGAAGAATGGCAGAGAGAACTGCTCTACCAAAGGAACAATCCTGTCTTGCACGTACATCAAGCTGATAATGCTTGGCGAAAGTACATGGAGCAGCCCAGGTTGTGGCTCTGCAAATATCCTGGATCGGAACCCCTGCCGCAAAAGCCAATGAAGTCGCAACTGCTTGTGTAGAATGGCCTCTTGGGAGTGTAGGTAAGTCCATCTTTGCTAGCTGATATACCAGAACTATGGACTGGACAATCCATTTAGACAGTCTTTGAGATGCAACTGGAGAACCCTTGTCATGATCAGCGTATTTAACGAAGAGTCTATTAGAATTCCTGAAGGATTCTGTGCGAGACCTATAGAAAGCCAGGCAGCATCGAACATCTAGAGTGTGGAGAGAGCGTTCAATCGGAGTCGATGGGGATGGAAAGAACGCGGGCAAGACAATGTCCTGATTCAAATGAAACGTAGCCACTTTAGGAAGAAACGTTGAATCCATCCGAAGGACGACCTTTTCCTTATGAAAATTCAAAACCAGTGGTTCTATGTGAAGAGCACAAAGCTCACTAGCCCTTCTGGCTGAAGTGACCACAACAAGAAAGGTAGTCTTCCATCAGGTCCTGCAGTAAAACACAGGAAACGTCTATGGAAAGGATGGATGGATATATGAAAATAAGCATCCTTCAAGTCCAGTGAGGTGAACCAATCCCCTCTCCTCAGTAACGGAGGGATATTTTGTAGGGTGGTCATTCGAAACTTTTTAGGCTTGATGTATTTATTAACATCTCTTAGGTCTAGGATGGGACGAAGACCACCATACTGTCTGGGGACTGTAAAATATCTAGAATAGAATCCGTGTAGCCCATCAGAGCGAGAGAGTTGTCGAATGGCTCCTTTATGAAGTAGCTGGTAGACCTCATCGCATAAAATTGAAGAGGGCAGCGTAAAATGGATAGGGCTCGATGGTGGAACAATGTTGAATTCTATTCTGTATCCGAGCTGCATGATGGACAACACCCACCTATCAGATGTAATGGACTCCCAAATGGGGAGTCGGCTTTGAAGCTGGCTCCCAAAAGGAAGAGGGGAAGGTGGGAGGTGGAGAGAAGGAGTGGCTCACCGGGACCGTCAATGAGGATGCTTTTCGGTATCGAAGCATCGACGGCCCTGAGAGAAACATTGTTGAGGCTGTTGCCTTCTACGCTGATGTCTTTGCTGATATTGCTGGCAGGGTTGGTACTGTTGACGTCCGTAAGGCCTGGGCCATGGCCACTTACATTTGTGTTGCGGGAGCTCCATGCGATGCACTGTCATACGTGACTTGTGGATTGCCTTGAGCTTCTGATGGGTCTTCGCATGAAAAAGCCCAGTACCATCGAACGGCATTTCTTCTATCCTTCTCTTCATTTTTTCAGGAAAGTTACAATTCCTCAGCCACGCATGCAGTCGAAGGGAAAACACACTGACCATGGCCTGAGAGTCAGTGTCCACATGATGTCTTGCAGTGGACAATTGCTGTATGGCCACTTGCATTGCCTCTTTTATAAAGACCCTGGCTAGGTCTGCCTGGTGGTCCAGAAGGGAGGAAGCAACGTTATCCAGCTTCTGCATTATGAAGTACTGGTAACGTGCCAGCGTAGCTTCATAATATGATGTGTGTAGTTCGAGTCCTGTGGCCGCATAGACCCGACGTGCAAGCATGTCTATCTTCCTCCCTTTGCTTTCGTGGGGTATTGTATGACCGCAAGCCTCTCTGCCCTGGGACGACTCAACCACCATCGAATTTGGCTTGGGGTGGCGTAGCAGAAATGGTATATCTTCCTCTCTAACCTGGTACATAGAGTCGTACCGGTAAGACATCGCTTGTGGTTGAGCCGGCTGGTCCCAGGGCTGGACCATCGCCTGGAAGAGCGTAGTAATAAGAGGTAATGCTATGGTTGTGGATTGTTCTCCCCGGACAATGTCATAAAATCTATTGGTGCTGGGACCAGGGCGATGATGGGCCTCGATCTCCAGCAACCGAACCAGACGGGAGATGAGCTCCGAGAAGGTGACATGGGGCTCGTCCGGGGAGCCAGGGTCCTGGGAAGTGATGGTCACATCAGGGGATGTGGAGTCTACTTCCGATTCGTCGGAATCCTGGTGGTAGCAGTATTGTATGCTGGAAGAGGAGGTCTCCGGGGATGGTGGAGGTCTCCTCTCTGCACAACCAGAAATGGATGGCGCCTCCCTCGGGATCGATGCTGAATTACGGTCCCGTGGATAATAAGGATAGGGTTGGTATCCACTCCAGCCAGGGAAGCCACCATAGCCCGGCATAGGCCAGTCATCCAATAGGCATTCAGCTGAACAGCTTCTGCACCTAGGTGGCGATACAGGTTCCTCAGGTGGCCCAGCGGTAAGCATCAGGGTTGGAGAACGTTCCCTCAGTGGGGAGTCTCTGATCTCTCCATTTGAGATCGATTCCCTAAGCGGCAGCTCCGGAGGTGGAGAAGACATGCTCTCAGGCCAGATAATTTACCTGGGGGAACCCGGCGGAGTCACCTGCATCGCCAATTGCAGGGCCGGTCCCGAGGGAGTCGGTACCGTAGCAGCAGTCGGTACCGAAAACCCTGATGAATCTGAGCCCCGGTGTTTGGGGCGATCGAGCTTCTTGCCCTTGTGAGCCACCTTGGCCGCTTTATCTTTCCTCGGTTTTTTGTGCCCAGAGGATTTATCAGATTCAGAGTGCTTACGCTTCTCCTTCTGCTTAGTTGGGGGAGAAGGTAGCTGTTGTGTTTCCGTTGAGGCAGCACCTTCGTGTGAAGGACACTGTGGCGGTGTGGCCGATGTTGAGGCGGGGCGCTTGGAGGGCGTGGCCAAAGTAGAGGCGAAGCGCTGAGAAGGCACAGTCGAGGAAGAAGTAGGCCTTGAGACCAATTGGTCTGATAGTACAAGGCCTGGTCCCACAGCAACTTGTGGAGACAATTCTCCCTATTCTTCCTGGCCTGTTTGGTAAAGGCCAGGCAATGCCCGCACTTGACGGTCCTATGCCCCTTGCCAAGGCAGAGGAGGCATAGGTCGTGCGGGTTGGCAGGAGACATTTTGGAGCTGCACTTGCTACATTTGCGAAATGTCGCCCGCTGCGCCATCGCGAAAAGGAAAGAGAAGATGATAGTGCAGAGGGTAAAGAATAATATTTTTGGTTTTTTTTTTTTTTTTTTTTAGAAAGAAGAAAGAAGAGGAAAACTACAATACGGATAAGAGAAAAAATTAGGAGTATAACAAGGTATAACAAGGTAAGTATAACCGTAAACGAGCACAAGGCAAGAAACTAAGCAAGAGATGAAGAGGCACGAGGCACAGCGAACGGCGGTCACAAAGACTGAATAAAATGGCGGACGCTCCGCTCTATTTATACTATAGGAGGGAGGGGAGTGGAGCCTTTTCCCGCCAAAAACCGTTAGCTTTCTAATCTTCCGGCCTAGGCACTGTGCAGGCGCAGCACCCATATGTGTGATGCACAGAGGACACGACGAAGAATAGTAAGATAGTGAGAAGCTAGATTTGGTGGCAGCTTAAAACCTGCATCTTATGACTTCATCCAAAAGAAGTTCAAGCAGTTACCATGTCTCAGTTGATATCATTTATCATAATTTGTTGAAGATGTAGTCTCATAATATTTTAGCATAGCCAACAAATTAAAGGCGATACATTTAATTTATTTTTGCTTTTCTGTGTGTTCCCAGAGAATTAATGCTTTTAAGTGGCTGTATTTCCTTCTCAGCCAACTTAATGTCCTTTCCTAAGACATCAAGGATGTATTGGTATATGATTCCAAGACTGGGCACAGTGAGCACTTCTCCCACAGCCCATTTATATAAATAGGAACAGTGTTTGTGGACTGTACATACTGTGTGTGCCCTTTTTACAAGAATGCCACACAGTGAATTTCCTTTTCTTTCAAGAGATAACTATAATGCACTATAAGACCCAACAAGCTGAGAGCTGTTTCTGTCAGGAAAGCTATAATTCTCACTAATTTATTATAATATAGGTAATTAAAATATTAAATGTAATCATTTTAAATATTAGCAAAATATAGATGAAATAATTATAACCATTTACAGCAATATATTATTGTAAATATACTACTACTACAATAATAATACTAATAATGAAAAATGGTATGATACATTATGTTTGCTCTATGATAAACAGAGGTCAGCATTCACTAAATTAACAGAAGTACTGATACAACAGAAGTGGTCAGGAGTTCCAGGAGACTCTCTGCACTCAAAGCAAGGAATAAAAGTGATTTGTCAAAATGGAACCTCTCATTTTGGAGGGGAAATCTGGGGAAGAGAGGCTAAAAAACAAAACCAAGATAAAAACTTGGGGAAATGCTGCACTCTCTAAAAGATCCACTCTGATCCAGACACCTTCACATTTCATCCTGTCAAGGCTATGCAGCAGGACAACTTCACTAGCCCTCTTAAGAAAGAAAGAGCACTTCCTGTGCCCATATGATTTTACCATGGCCCTAGGTAGTTTAGGGGCCCTTTATGATGCTATTGTAGTAGTACAACTGACCACTGATGCTGAAAAAAATAACTGCCTACTGATTTTGGAACCTTTCTAAGCTTTGCCTTCTGTTTTGGAAGGCTGTCTGAAGTTGCTGCACACTGAGCATCTACCATGTAATAGCTGATGACACCTTCCTCTCTACAGCTTCTGTGGTTTGCAGAGTTCAGAAAATCTGACCTCTTTAAACAAGAAGGAACAGCTGTGTCTCCATTTCCTTCTCTATAGTCTGTTCTTTCTCTCAATGAATAAATTTTTATCACTTTGAACCCTTTCTAAGTAGCATTACCATTACAACACCCACCCACATTTATTGTAGCCAAGGAAGAATAAAGTAGGATCAGGACTGGATCAGCAAAGGATGGGGAATATCTAACCCTTAATGCCCACTCCATGGCTCCAGTGAAAATTGCTTCTTCCAACAGGTGGCCTGGGGAAGAGGTACCTGTCCTCCTAAAGAATGTCATTGGGATTCCAGAGCTCTAGAAGCAAAGTTGGGTGCTGTTAAATCACTGACATCTGGAAGGATATTATGATAGTTTATAGTACTTTTTCTGAGAATACTTTCTGGATAATTGCTTTGGGGTTTCTAAGTCATCATTGTACTGCTCCTTAACAATTGCAAATGAAACTTTCTCAGTGTTTGTTTTTCTAGTCAGGCTTTGGTTCTACCATACATCTTCTGCACAGCTGGTAGAAAGCCGTCCTGGGATGTTTTATAGGGGACGGAATAGAAGAACTTTTGATTGATAGATAGATAGATAGATAGATAGATAGGCAAGGAGGAAAAGAAACTATTAACTGCTCCAACTATTCATAAGGCAACACCAGCTAATTTGAGTATCCTATTCTGAATAGCTGCCTCCTAGTCTTGGAAATATAAATAGTTCACTAGAATACTAAAAGCCAGTAGTGTAACATACAACCTTAGTAGAAAAACATGTAAGGCCATCCAGAAGGGCTCACTAAAAACGCCCCCTAACCTAGTGAGGAAGTAGAGTGCATTTTACAAGATTCTCTACCAAGAAACAACCAACTCTATTCCTGATTACATCTGCGAGCTGTCCTACAAACTAGAGACCCTTACGTTAAGTCTTATTTCGCTTTCCAATTAGAAACATAGAAACAGAGAGAGTCAGAAGGGGTCTCCTGGGCCATCTAGTCTGACCTCCGGCACCAGCCGGCTCTGCTCACAACATGCCCACCATGTGGACGTTCAGCCTATCCTTGAACACTTGCAAGGATGGGGCCTCAACGACCTATTGTGGAAGTCCATTCCACATCCTCGGGGTCCTGACTGTCAGGAAGTGCTTCCTGGCATCCAAATGGAACCTTGGCTCCCTGAGCTTTGCTCCATTGGAGCACGTCCTGCCTTCCTCTGCAGGGGAGAACAGGTCACTACCCATCTCTATGTGACATTCCCTCACATACCTGTATGTCGCCAACAGATCCCCTCTGAGTCTCCTCTTCTCCAGGCTGAAGAGACCCAGGTCTCTCAGTCTCGCCTCATACGGCATCCCCTGACAACTGGCCACCAACCATGTGTCCCTACGCTGCACTGACTCTAACCTGGCTATATCCTTTCTGTAATGAGGGGCCCAGAACTGAACACAATACTCCAGTTGCGGGCGCACCAGCGTCGTGTAGAGAGGTAGTAATACCTCTCTTGATCTAGAAGCCACACTTCTGGCTATGCAACCAAGGGTGGCGTTCGCCCTCTTGACCACCGCATCACACTGCTGACTCATGTTTAGCCTGCAGTCAACCAGTACCCCGAGGTCCCTTTCACAAGTGCTGCTCTCCAGCCACTTGTCACCTAACCTGTACTTATGATAGCTATTCCTATGCCCCAAGTGCAAGACCTTGCACTTATCCACATTGAACGCCATCCTGTTGTCTCCTGCCCACTTCCATAGTCCGTCCAGATCCTTTTGGATCTGGAGTACCTGCTGCTCAGTTGTGGCCACTGCTCCAGTTTTAGTGTTGTCTGTGGATTTGATCAGCAGACTGTTCACCCCTTCTTCCATGTCGTTAATGAAAAGATTAAACAGGATCAGCCCCAGGACAGAGCCCTGGGGGACCCCACTTGTCACTGGCCGCTATCCCAATGATTCCCCATTAATGGTTACCTTCTGCTTTCGGTCAGTCAACCATGCCCTAATCCACCGGACAGTGCTTTGGTGTATCCCAAAACTCCTCAGTTTCTCCACCAGGATATCATGGGGCACTTTGTCAAAGGCCTTGCTAAAATCCAGGTATACCACATCCACTGCATCCCCTCCATCTAGCCATCGCAAAACCTTGTCATAGAATTCCACAAGGTTTGTCTGGCAGCACCTGTTTTTGCAGAAGCCGTGTTGTGTGGCTGTCAGCCTCCCTTCCCTATCTAGAATCACTAGATCTCTCTCCATTATGAGCCTTTCCATTGTTTTTCCTACAATGGACATAAGGCTAACCGGTCTATAATTCCCCATGTCCTTTCTACTACCCTTTTTGAAAATTCGGACCACTGATGCCACCCTCCAGTCCTCTGGAACTTCACCTGTTCTCCACCAGGTCTCAAAAATGGAGGCCAGCGGGCGTGAGAGAACCCCTGCCAACTCTCTAAGTACTCTCGGGTGTAACCCGTCAGGGCCTGGTGCCTTTGTAATGTCCAATACCCTGAGGAACCCCTCGACTTCAAGGGGGGGTGACTCTACTCTGTGCCCCTAAGTCCCCAGCCTCATCTAATTTCCTATGCGGATATCCCCCATCCTGCTTTGGGGAGAACACAGAGGCAAAATAGTCATTTAGCATCCGTGCCTGTTCCCTCATATCAGTCACTGGATCTCCTTCCTCCTTATTTAGTGGTCCCACCACTTGTCTCCCCTTCCTCTTCCTGTTTGCATGCTGAAAGAAGCCCTTTTTGTTGCTCTTGATATTCTTGGCAAGTCTCAGCTCGTAATCAGCCTTAGCATTGCGAAGAATCCTTCTGCAACGGGCCTCCTCCTCCCGGTATACCCTTTTGTCTATTTCTCCCAGTACCCATTTCCTACGGAGGTTCCTCTTTCGCATAATCCCTTTAACCACGTTCTTTCGCATCCATGGTGGCACTCTCCTCCGCCTCCCCACCTTACTGACTAGAGGTATCATCAAGGCTTCCGCCTCCAAAACCTCCCTTTTGAGTGCTATCCACCCCTCCTCAACTCGCTTACCTTCCAGTAACTTATCCCAGGAGACTTTCCCCAGTCTGGCCTTCAGTTGGCCAAGGTTGGCCCTCTTGAAGTCCCAGCTTCTAGTGCTCGACCTGTTGCACGTCCCCAGTCCCCTGATCTCAAAGCAAAGGATGGAGTGATCACTCGCATCCAGAGCTCCCCTAATCTGTACTTCATCTATCAGCTCCTCCTACTGGTCAAGACCAAGTCAAGGATGTTTCCCCCCCTCATCGCCTCTCGGACCCTCTGTGAGAAGAACCCTCCCTCTATAGCTTCTAGGAAGCGATGTGACCTGGTGTCACCGCTGAGTGAGTCTCCCAAGTAATATCCGGGAGACTGAAATCTCCCATAATTACTGTGCCTCTTCCCCTGAGATATCCTTAGAATCTGGTCTGTCAGAACATCATCCAGGGTCTCAAGTTGACCTGGAGGGCGATAACATACCCCCACTGTCAGGTCTCTTTCCCTGTCAAAACCCCTAAGTTTCACCCAGACTGCCTCTACTGAATCCTCATCTGTGCTGCATTCTATCTCACTGCAGCCTATCCCTTCCCTGACGTATAAAGCCACGCCCCCACCTCTCTTTCTCTTCCTGTCCTTTCTAAAAAGGTGATACCCTTCTATGTTCACATTCCAGACTTGCCTTTCATCCCACCAAGTTTCTGTGATTCCCTCCAGATCATACCCTCCTATTCCCAGGAGAGCTTCAAGCTCTTCCTGCTTATTACCCATGCTCCTAGCATTGGTGTACATGCACCTCAACTCCTTCCCACCGCTTCCTTTCCTTGGCGTTCCCAGCCTCCTCCTTCCTCCCATCCTCCCTGATAAATGGCCTCTCTCTGAAGGAGTCCTGTCAGTCCCTGCAGTATCTCTAAAACCCTGCTCCCAAAGCCATGATCCTCCCCCCACACTTGTCCAGTGCAGACACGTTACTGGGGGGCTGACCCCCCCCCCCCCTCAGTTTAAAGTCTTCCGGACGAAGCTCGCTAGAGCATCTCCAAAGGACCTTTTCCCCATCCTCGTGAGGTGTAACCCGTCTCTTGCCAGAAGTCCATTGGCAAGAAATCGAGTGCCGTGGTCGAGGAACCCAAAGCGTTCCTTCTGGCACCACACCCTAAGCCAGTCGTTCACTCGGAGGAGGCCATTAGGAAAGCTGGCAGGATAGGGATGCCATTTCACATTTCAGAGCGGATGGAATAAACTGGCTTCCTAAAGGAAAACCTTTCAAGAATCAGCTAGAACAGGTTTTATCCAAAGGTGACATCAGGTAATGCAATGGTATGTGTAGTGCATGGATGTTAAAAAGACCCACACTGCTACTCTGTCATGTCTTCCAGATAAGCCCTGTTGATGTAGCTACCCTGTGAAGTGAATGGACATGAACTTAGGAAATGCAGAACTCCTGGAACAGTAAGTAAACCCATGCTTACCCTGATCCAAGTTATAGTCACCTTAGTGCAACTGGAATTCTTCATAAAAGAACAGACAGTCAGGTTTAACCTGAAGGCCCTAAAGATATCATACAAGTCACTTTTCTTGGAGTGAAATGGCTTAGGACTGGCAATGTTTAAGAGATTTCTAGTGAGGAGCTTAGATGTTCCAATGCAACACCAAACATATGGTGGATTCCTATGTAGAAACACAATAGAAAATAGAAAATAAACACTGACCTGTGGTCTGCCTTGCAGTAATTTATCCATAGATGTAGAGGTAATACCATGTATGAGGCTAATACAATTTCTTCAATGGCTAGGGATGAAACGTCATTTTGGTAGTCTGCCACATCAGCTGGCATTCCTGGCCACCTTTGGGACCGACCACCTTGGATATTACAATGAAGTCCATGGAAACACCATTAAAACATAGAAAACAGAGCGAGTCAGAAGGGGTCTCCCGGGCCATCTAGTCTGACCTCCGGCACCAGCCGGCTCCGCTCATGACATGCCCACCATGTGGATGTCCAGCCTATCCTTGAACACCCGCACCGATGGAGCCTCAACCACCTCCCAGGGAAGCCCATTCCACACCCTCGGGGTTCTGACTGTCAGGAAGTGCTTCAGGTTGTTCATGGTCTCAGACAGAAAAAAGAATGAAACTGTTCTGTGCACATGACTGGCAATGTTTGCTCTGATTTCTTCCATTTCAGCATTTTCAAAATAAACTGGTAAAATTTCAGGCCTAAATATTCTGACATCTTCACATAGAGCATTTGCCTCCAACTTAGAGCAAAACCTTCAGAGTTTGGCTGTGGTTACATGCCAGTTATCATTTCTCCAATAGAGTTACTTTAAGGAGCTTAATTTTCCTTGGACTTTGATGCCAGTCTTCTGGTGGATTTTGACGGCATGTGGATGCACTTCTCTCTGCCAAGTACAGGGAAACAGGATGTATAGCGTGATCTAAGAGATGGCTAGTATGAGGACTGATTCCAGACACTATTGCTTCTTAGAGACAGGGAGAAGAGACTTTAAAATCATCTCTTTCTGGCAATAAGGAGAACGTTTTCAATTTATTTTAACAGGATTCTGATCAAACCTGAATTTCTGGAACTGAGGATGTATCTACTGTGAGGATGTGTGAAGGGAAGTCCTACCCTTTCAGAGAATCTAAAGGTGGGTGACCCTGGTTCTGGACCAAGGAGAGAAGCCTGTTCTCATCCATGAGTCAGGAAACAACCACAGGGGGGAAGGAAAACATTGTTTCTAATGACCTCCAGCTTAGCCACACTGCATAGCAAGAACATAACATCCTTACCTACCAAGCAGAAAGAGGGAGTAAAGAAACTAAAGTATGCAACCATAGGCATAGTGGAGCTCATCTATGGAAAATCTGCCTGTCTCCCTAACAAATATTAAGAGAAGTCCAAACAACACAAGGCAATATTCAACAGTGTCATTTCACTAACTCGGACCACAAATCTTCCAATTGTGCAAGTGTTTCTGCAATTTCTTAGCTGAGTGCATACTAGCAGAGCTCTTGGGACTCCTGAATGTAGTTGTGTAATCTCTTGAGCGAGCAGATGCACAATCAGTTGCAAAACCTAACTTTAGTTAGAATCTGCCCTTGTCCCTAATTCATAACTAAGATTTTACTAGTTCAATGCAATTTGTGCTAGGAGAATGACACAGTGGGATACTGCCCACTATACCAAATATAAGTAGACATGAAACAATTGAAAATGAAACAAACAAACATACAAACATAGCAAAACAGGGCAGAGCAAAACCTGCAATAAATCAGTTTCATTTGCTTTAGATGGCAAAGCCAAGAACTGGGCAGGAATAATGGCTACCCCAGTCATAAAATAAATACCATCTGGTACCATTTAAAACTCCAGATCCTTTTTATTTTTGCAGCTAGGAATTTTTCACATAAGCAAACACCAAAAAAGGCAGAAAAAGTATGTAGAGTCCCCTGCAAAGAATCATAGAATAGGAGAGTTAGAAGGTGCCAAGGAGGCCATCAGGTCCAACCCACTGCTGGTGTAGGACACCAATTTACACCATCCCACTCAGATGGCTGTCCATTTTCTTTCTGAATGTCTCTTGTGTGGGAGATCCCACCACCTCTGACCATGTTTGACAGAAACCTTCCTCATGCACTGATATCAAATAGTTACAGCACAGCCTAGTTCATACATAACTTTCTCTCCAGTCAGCTGCACTCATGACATGCCTACCATATCCAGCCTATCCTTGAACACCCTCATCAATGGTGCTTCAACCACCTCCCATGGAAGCCCATTCCATACCCATGTTATGGACATAGTCTAAACCCTTTAAAATAGGGGTTAGCAGTTGACAAGCTCTCAGATCCTTATGGGAGAAAAAGTGGAGTGCATAACAGCGCCCACTGTTATTTTCCCCTTAATCAGTATTTACAGTGCACTGGCAGCTTATAGACAAATACGTGCATCCAGAACCAAGTGGGTGAGTGTTAAACATTTTTTAAATGAAAAATTGATAGCCTACTCTGTTTTGTTACCCAGCAAGATTTACCTCCTGGTGTTCTAGTAGCATACTAACCAGATTTTGGGCACTGACTAATGTTTTTACTCTTCAAGTTTGTATAAAAGGTTGAAGTTCAGTTCAGTACAATGCACTGTTCCACAAGATCTGCTTACCCCTTCAGGCAGGTGATTAATCACATGATCAATAGACCATATGATCAGGCATTAATAGCTGATAGGAAGAGAGAATAAACAACTATAAATTGTTTTATAGTCATTTTGTACCCTGCAATCCAAAAGTAAGAGATGTCGGATAATGGTCACATAAGGGCATGTTGTATAAATAGCCCATATAAGAAAGAAAGACAAGAGATACATACATTAAAAAAAAACTTAATTATTGCTGAGTTGCTGAGGACAAGAGGTCTACCCAGCTCAGTGACTCCTTTATCTTTGCAAAGTATGTGTGCATAGCATTCTATGCTTTCTCAGACATATAGAGATATGCAAACATCTGGAAAAGATTTAGGAAGCAGTAAATATTAAACATCAGTGTCAACCACCCTTCATATTATGTTTTCAATAATTTAATTATTCCTGTGTAATTCACCAGGTTGGGAAAATGTTCCAAGCACTCATGATACCTATTTAGGAATGGAGCAGGAAGTAAAATTACTTTGGAGTGCAAATTTACACATATTTACACAGAAGTAAATCCCACTGTGTTCAGTGGTACTTAATCTTTTGAAAGTGTGTTTGAAATTGCTACTTTAATGCATTTGCTAAGTTCTGGTTGTTGTTTTTCTCCAGCTGCACTTGCAGGCAAACCATTAGGCTGAATAATGTAAACTGAGTTACCCTTTATGTTCTGCTGCTGTTTCTAAGGGTGCCATGAACTCCAAATATAAAGCCTGAATCTTTTGAATAAAAGCTTGATTCAGTTGCTTAGAAATCTCAGTCCATCACTCCTCTCCCAACACCTTATTCCTAGGCTTCTTTTCTAAGAGTTTCCCTTCCCTCTTATTCCTCTCTTTTATTAAACAAAAATAGCCTGAATAAAATTCAAACCAGGTTTACAGCAAATGC